TCAGTTTTATTTCTTTGTAATTTCACTGACATGTTATTTAAATTTTTATAAATGTAAACTTTTTACTCTTATGTGGTTGGAGATTTGGCTTTTAATAATAAAGAATTTTATTCTTATAATTATTGTATATATATGTTGGGGTAGAGGGTATCACACATTTACTTCTCAAAATTTTAAAAATACTAAATTTTAACCTTTTGGTCAAAGTAACATTAGTTAATAGTTAAATTTAAAGTTTATTAATATTTAAATGAATTAACATTTAATGGCATGTCATTTGAAAATAAAAATTAAAATTAAAAACAAACATACAAATAAGATTTATTAATAAAATAAATTTTAATCACACATTAAAATAAATACAAACGAAAAAAATTTGTAATATTTTTAAAATTTTTATTTTTATATGTAATGTCATTAAATATCATATCACTTAAATAGTGACATATTATCAAATAATATTAAAATTTAATGATAAATAAATATCTAATTAATAATAGAATAAAAATTTATATTTTTTAAAATAAATAATTAAATATATCAATTTTAAAATAAAAAGGCAAATGCTACGGCTTGACAAAAGGACCAGAACACTACCTGAATTTGAAAGTTGTAGCATTAATCTTATAAGATATTATTAGACAAGTTTATAAAATATTAAATAAGTTTGTAAATTTAAATATTTATTATTATTATTTTAGTGCTTGCATATTAATATTTTAATTAGACTTTTTCTTTTACTTTTAGATTAATGTAACTGTTAATTTATATTTTCAGTAATTTGTTTTACAATTTCTTAATTTAGATCCTAATATGATTTTTATTCTCCAAAAAATAATATGATACCGTTTTCCTAATTCGGATTAACTTTCGATAATTTCATTAACATTTTTTCTAGTTTATTTATTAAAGAAAAAGGAAAAGACTTATTCTTTTCAAAACGACTCCCCATACGATATTTTATCTTAAAAAATTTAAAAATTATTTGATACTTCATTTCATTAATTCAAATTGACGAATAATCATAAAACTATTTTATACATTGATTTGAATTAATGAAATGAAGGCTCAAATGGTCTTCAAGTTTTTTAAAAATTTGTAGATTTAATTTATGTATTAAAAATTTTAAATTCAATGGTTGAATCTTTGAAATTTGATTTAGAACAGAATTATTGAATGAAGTAAGTCTAAGTAGATTTATTTATATAATAAATAGATTCATCCTCTCTCTCTATATATATATTATAAATACTAGCATAAAAAGTACTTTGTGCTTGCATTTATTTTAAAACAAATAAAAATAAAATTAAGATTGAATAATAATTTAATTAGTAATCGAAAATTTTGAATAATTTTTAGATAGTTATAAAAAGTAAAATAGAATACAATAGAAGTTAGGATAAAATTGTCCAAAGTTTGTATACACAAAAAAAAGGATATATCATTTATTATTAGTATAGATTTAAATTAAAACAGAGCCAAAAGTTTATTAGTCTTGCATAATTATATTTAATATAATTAAAATATTTTTAGAACAATATAATTTGAGTTAGGAGTAGACATTAGTTAGATCGAGTTGAATTTCAAATATATTTATATTAAAATTGATTAACTTTAATTAATTAATATTAACAGAATAAGTTTTCATACCTTTTCAATACGAACTTGGTGGTTAATGGGGTCAAATTTCATTAACTTTCTATTCATCCTAATTTGATATTGAGGTCAAATTTCATTAACTGTCTATTCATACTAATTTGATATTGAGCCTATTTAGATACAAGCTATTTTGAAAGTTTCTCTATCAAAAATAAAGACATTTTCATTAGAAAAACTCTCAAGCTCTTCTAAGCTTATATGCAAGCAAGTTCATTACATTTGCTTTAGCTTCCATCAATTGAAATTTCAAACAAAGGAGAAAGGACTAACAAAAGAATAACTGCTTCCATTGGAAGAAATCAACCAACAAAAGAAACTGACCTCATCGAGTAGTATATGTGAAGCCTTGAAATCTCTGTACATGACATGTCTTTCAGAGGCGTGCAAGAAAGCTAGAGCCCGGGCTGCTCCAATAGCTATTTTAAGCCTGGTGTTCCATGAAAGTGGTTCGAAGTTAGAATTTCCTGCTCAGAAACACAACAAAGAAATTGAATTAAACTCAAATTTGAGATATGGAGTTTTCCTTGACTATTTTTATTGTCATTAATTCTTACTTCTGAATAGCTGATAGTGTAAGCTTCCCTTAGGCATGAACTCGTACACAAGAAACTTACCATCCCTGCAGTAACCCAATAGGTTGACCAGGTTGGGGTGAGAAAGCATTCCTAAAAAGAATACTTCTGACTGCATTTTACAATCAACGGAAAATTATGTTAAATAATCAGATAGCTAGCTATACTGAATTTGTGCAAAAAGTAGGATTTATCACATGGAAGGTACTCTAATTGTCTTGAAGGTTACACAAAAATATTAAATGCAATATGATAAGTAACAGCACAACATGATAAAATGATAAACATTGAGCCAGAAAAATGTCTAGTTATGTTTTGGTATTACTCTTTTAGTCTTTTTATTATTAATTTTTTAATATGATTCTTTAACTGTGAAAATATATGCATGTTTTCACCATAAATGTTAGGCTAAGGTCTGTTGTACATGACCTGCCACTCTAAAATCCCTCCCATGCTGCCCGATTTCAACTCTTTTATGGCAACAACCTTTCCAAAACCTGCCCTGACAGGGGTTAGGGTCTTCTCATCCAGCTGTCCCTTGTAAACAAAGCCAAAACCATCCTCATCAACCACTGTGTCAAGCCTAAAATTCCTTGTTGCAGATTTCAGCTCCGCAAAACTAAACACCTTCAATTTTTCATGGATAGCTTCAATGACTTCCAATTTCTCAAGTACATCTTTCATAGAAGGACGTTTGCTAGGGTGAGGTTCTAGGCATTTTAGAGTAAGTTGTGCTGCTTGCCATGCTGCCTTGGGTGAATATTGATCTTCTATCTTAGCATCCATAATGGTTTTCAACTTTCTTTTGGAGAAAAGAAAAGCCTTTGCCCATTCAACTAGGTTGTGCTGGTCTGTTGGCCGATCTGTGTCAAGTGCCTGCATGCCTGTCAGCATTTCTAGCAGCACTACACCAAATCCGTACACATCACTCTTCACATACAAGCGCCCTGTTGAATATTGATACATTTCAAAGCCATGTTAGTTTTTGGCAGGTCAAAGGATTAAACTACAGTACTCCTTATGTTAGTCTTGATTCCCCCAACTTCATCTTCCATAAATCATTGTTTTAGTATTATAGTAAGGCCAGCTTGGTTTAAGAAAACTGTCTGATTTCATTTCCTGTTTTTATTGATAATTACAAAAAAATTCGATATGTTGCTTTGTTTTAACTCTGTTTCCTATTTTTAGAAAGAGTGAAAACAACACAAATCTTGTTTTAACTGTTTCTTGTACAAGTATTTCAAATCAAGAAACCATAAGTTATGGCATTTTAGTAATTATGTATGGAAACAGGAAATGAAGATGAAAAACATTTTCTCAAATCAAACAGACCTTTCGTTTTTTTCGTTTACTTTGCTTCCATTTCCTTCTTACTTGCAAAGCATGTAATCTTGGCTAACATTTTGCCTTGTGAGATAATAATAAAGTCAAAACATACATTTAAAGTTTATTTAATTTCCAAATATGCGCAGATATATTTACCTGTTGCAAAATATTCTGGAGCAGCATAACCAGGCGTGCCCATGACCCTGGTAGTTACATGTGATTGTCCCCCAGCAGGCCCCAATTTAGCCAATTATATATATATATATATATATATATATATATATATAAATGCTTGCGGTAAAAAATTAAAAAGCAAAAAATATAACATGCACAACAATGAATTAGGATAATCTAATAAGAGAACCAAATATTAGAGGTGTTATAAGTCATATTAGAGTGCGAAGTGTAATGCTGGATTATACTATAAGTGTCATAAGGAGTGAAAATTGGGTGAGCCAACCCTTATCACATATTAGATTGAGATAGAAAAAAAAAACAAAACAAAACAAAATAAGACAAAAGTATATTGATCTTTGTTTATTTCTAACCCAACTTACTTAATTTATGAGACAATTCACTCTTATCATAGATTCTAGGTTGGACTGAGATAGGGAAAAAAATTGTATGAGTCTTGGTTCAATTCTAAATCAACTTATTTAACTTGTTAGATAAATGAATTTAAATTGAATTGAGTTGAATTAGCCCTTTCAATTCACCCATAATTCAATAATTCAATTTGTTATTTTTTAATATATGTATCATTTGAATGGTATTTATTTTGTAGTTATATGTGAATCATTGAATGTTTTAATGAGAAAAATGTAACATACTACTTTTTCTTTTTTAAAGAAGGGAAAGTGGGGAATGTTATTGATCCAAACCAATATAAATATAATTTAATTGAATCAAATGAGATTAAAGACAAAATAACAAAAATATCAAATCAATTCTAATTAATTAAAGTTAATCAATTTTAATATAAATATATTTGAAATTCAACTCGATCTAACTAATGTCTACTCCTAACTCAAATTATATTGTTCTAAAAATATTTTAATTATATTAAATATAATTATGCAAGACTAATAAACTTTTGGCTCTGTTTTAATTTAAATCTATACTAATAATAAATGATATATCCTTTTTTTTGTGTATACAAACTTTGGACAATTTTATCCTAACTTCTATTGTATTCTATTTTACTTTTTATAACTATCTAAAAATTATTCAAAATTTTCGATTACTAATTAAATTATTATTCAATCTTAATTTTATTTTTATTTGTTTTAAAATAAATGCAAGCACAAAGTACTTTTTATGCTAGTATTTATAATATATATATAGAGAGAGAGGATGAATCTATTTATTATATAAATAAATCTACTTAGACTTACTTCATTCAATAATTCTGTTCTAAATCAAATTTCAAAGATTCAACCATTGAATTTAAAATTTTTAATACATAAATTAAATCTACAAATTTTTAAAAAACTTGAAGACCATTTGAGCCTTCATTTCATTAATTCAAATCAATGTATAAAATAGTTTTATGATTATTCGTCAATTTGAATTAATGAAATGAAGTATCAAATAATTTTTAAATTTTTTAAGATTCAAATTTAACCTATACATTAAGAACTTTAAATTTAACATTTACATCATTGAAATTTGATGTAAAACATAAATTTTGGGGGCAAAATAAGTCTAAACAAACTTACTCTTAAAGTAAATAAATCTCTCCTTTTATATATATATATATATATATATATGTCCACTTATTAGTACAAAATATATTTGACCCAATCAACTTTCCATTTTTTTTTTTTTTTTGAAAGAAAAGCAAGTTTTAATAAAATGACATGTTAGCATCAAAACAATGTTCCCTTATCTAACGTGCAAAATACTTTCCCACTTCA